CATATATTAATATGACAATGTGATGATTATTTTCCTATTTATGAGTAATAATTTTCTAAATTAACTATCCTTTCAAAGTGAATTTAAGGTATTCCCAGATTCTTAAATTGCAAATGGCCTTATCCAAATACTGACACGATATATGAGAATATATATCTACATATATATCTCTATCTATATTTATATAGATAGATATAGATAGATAGATAGATAGATCCTTTTGGGGGGTGGTACTGGGGATGGAACTCACGACCTCACGTTTATGAGGCAGGTGTGGTGCTGCTGAAGTAAATCCTCAGCCACTCACGTACATATTATTTGAAGTCCTACATTCTCTCAAAATATATTTATGCAGTTTAAAACAAGAGCATTAGTATATTACTCTGTGGGACACTGAGGAGATGGAGAGTTCATAAAAATTTTTAAAATACACAGCCTGTGTTTTTCTCTATTGAAAAGTTTCAAATGGCCTTGAAGTAAAAAGTACAGCATTTTAAGAATTCTGGCTGCTCACACTCTGAATCAATATCTAACACAAGTGGAGTCTGTTGTCCAGTGTGCACCCTCTCCAAAATATGATTTATTAAAAAGCACAGACAGAAGAGAAGAAACAGATATTGAAAGATGTGACAAAGTGACAAGGTAGTTCTAGAGAAACTAAGTGACTCTGTGAGTCGTTGTTTAATTCCTAAATCAAGGAGGGGGATCATTCCTTTTAAGTTTGTGTGTTTAAACTGCAAAATATTGAGTCACAAAGACCTGCCTCTAGGACAGGCCAAGGTGGGTGAATAAATATTTGAACTGAATGATGCTATAATTATTGACAAAGCATCATGCTGTAACTACAAGACTTTTTAAATTTTATACCTAATATAATATACATATAGGCAGAAACTTGATGCTAAACTTATGTGCAGTACGCTTGCCACACTTTTTAAAGCATGTAATTCTGTTCAGTATATTAAGTCCTGCCTCCTTTGGTCACATAGCTTGTATCTTCTTTCTGTGACAGCCTCGCAGGTAGAGGAATTTTGCCCATGTTACAATCAGTGCCAGAGAACTCAGCAGTCTAAGGGAAAGTTTTAAAAGACTGCAATTTAATCAACAATCTCAGCCTATTTTATTTGAATATTTAGAAAAAATGTGTCTATGACATTTTAAGATAAATTTAAACAAAGAAAGTGATGTGGTATACAAATAGTAAGAGGAGGAGGTCATCCCATTCAATGGTTTACGAAGGTTGTTTTTAGGTTACTCGTACCAGGACGTCCCACAGGACTGATGAACCATATAGACAAAAATTCCAGGCCACATATTTTCAAAAGGACCAATGTCAAAGTGGAATCTGAAATGAAAAGACAGTGTATCACTAAATGCAATGAATTTACTCTTAAATGCAAGTAAGAGAAGCATAACAAGTAAAGAAAATTATTTAACCTTTTGCCTATAAAGAGACTAAGACAACAGTGGCCTCTCTGCCATCTTCTGTTACACCTATCTGGTACTGAGAAGTTTTCAGGAGATTGTACGTATTTCATCAAGAAATTAACAAGTCACTATTTAATTTGCTATTACACAATCTGTTAAAAAAATAAAAAAGATGCTATGGGCCAATGATTTGGCTCAGTGGTTCTGATGCCTGCCTTGCAAGCACAAGAGCTAGAGTTCAATCCCTAGTACCACCAAAAAAAAAAAAAAAAAAAAAAAAAAAAAAAAA